TATATATATATATATATATGTATATATTCCGTTATTTAAAAAAAAAAGACAATAACTTTAAATTTATAATCCATATAATATCTTCTTTGATGTCTTTCCACTGGATTGTTGAGTCCCTCATCCATAATTGGGTAACGTAGCATCCTGGTGCAACAGTTTGTTCAAAGTCTTCAGTCATCATCTGCCCCCATCAGTAATGAATATCCTCATATATATATAAAAGTAAAAACAACCACCCGAGTGACATTATGATTATATTCCATATAGTTGTAATTGTGGCTTTCATCAGGATTATTAATTCCCATCATCGTAATGGGTAACAACCAGATCTTCTGCATGCCCCAACGTAGCTCTCTTGCCTTGTAGCTCTGAATAGTTATAATATATTTATCAATACAAGAAAGAAATCCAAAATAGATAATTCAAATCCAACAGTTTAAGGCTCTTTTCACATCCCAAAATTACGGCATTGCAGAGGTCTGTCACTGTCCTCAGGATGATATTAACCAATACTTCGCCTCCACTATCTTTTCACATATTCATTCATTTTTTTTAAAATCACTGGCTTCACCGTTGCTTAATTTAGAAATTTCTGTTTTTATGAGACCTATTTCTTTTTTTCTTTTCTTTTTGTGGGTTTAATTTCCATCCTGTTTTCCTTTCTACAAGTTGTATATCAACTGATCGGTTTTCATTCTGCTTTATAAGTTGATCTTGTTGGTTTTGTTTTTGTATCTCATATTTCTTTTTTGCCAATTGTATATCAGCTAATTGATTTCCATACTTGTCTTTAACTTGGTGAATCATCACGTTGAAATCAGATGCCGCTTCTTTCATATTTGTAGATAATCCAGCTGGGGTATCGAGAGAATCCAAAGGCAATTTGTCTACCGCAACCTCTGTAATTCGATGTTTTCCCTTTATTTCCAACTCCTTCTGCTTATCCTGTATTGTGCCTATAGATGTTAAGTTCATTTTCAAATTTTTTTGATAAAATTCTTCCGCTTTTTCAACAGTATCTAATTGGTATCTTTCTCCTTGATATCTCAATATTATGCCAACTGGGGCATCCCACCTAAATGGAATATTTCTGTATTTTAACTCAGTCACCAGAAAACCAATTTTCTTCCTTTCCGTTAACATCTTGGGGGGGAGCTCTTTGTAGATCCATATCTTTCTTCCATACAATTGCAAAGTAGAATTGAAGGAATTTTGCACAATATTATTCCTAATTTCTTTATCTGTAAAATAAATCACCACATCTCTAGGCAATTGCCTTTGCTTTGCAATCCAGGAGTTTATTCTGTACACTCTGTCAATCCTACAAAACACTTCCTCAGGTTGAACCTTTAAAATCCCAGCCAGAATTTCAGAAGATATTTTCCTTAAATCATCTCTGTTATTTTCCTGCAAACCTCTGAGTCTGATCGCATATTCTGTAAAATTGTAATGCACCATTAGGACCTCTCTTTCAATCCGTTGTTGTAAATTTTCTGCATTACAAGACTTTTGTTCAACCTCCATTTTAGGTTTTTCTTCTGAGCTATTGTCTTGAATGTTTGTCAAATCATTTTCAATTTTTTGTATTTTATTATCCAAATTGTCCTCAATTTCTTCCACTTTAGACTCTAATAAGTTAGTATTTTCATCCAACTTAATCATAAATTCTACAAAGCCATTAGCCATTTTTATAATCTTTCGATCCAGAATATCAAACTTTAATTGCACTAATTCTTTAATTTCCTGCTTAAATTTTTCAAAGTTCTGATTCACAATCTCATCCCTTCTTACAATCTCCTCCAAAAGAAATTCAATTATATTAAAATCAGTTTTCTGAGACTGGAGCTTTAAAACTTGGTCACGTAATTTGTTAATGGGGGAATCCCCCCCCATTGCTTGTTTGTCCGGCTTTAATGCCATATTTCAACACAGACAAACTATTTTTTAAAAAAAAAAGAAAAGAGAGGCAGCAGAGAAAAAAAAAACTTCTTTCCAACCAAGATCAATATCAAATCTCCAGGAAGAGAAAAAACACAAAAGTAGAGCTTTATTTTCAAGTGTAGCCAAAAATATTTATTCAGCTACTTTGTATCTCAATAGGAAACGGAAGGACTCTCCCTTTCAGCCCCTTCTCAACCCTCGGCAATCGCCCTTTTTAAAGATTCTTTTTTCCTTTTCCTTTTCGTTCTTCAATAATTGTTATAAAATAAGTGAGATACTTGCAATTCAGGGTCACAGGTCCAGCTCATATCCCTTCAAATGTAACCAGGAGCATTTATTCTGCTACTTTGTAACTTAATAAGAAACGGAAGGACTTTCTCTTTTCAGCTTCCCTGCTCCAGTTTCGGCAATCGCCATTTTAAAAGGTCTTTTTTACTTTGTTGAATATCCTTTGCGAAATAAGTATTAATACTTGCAATTTAGGGTCACAGGTCCAGATCCAAATCTCATCATCTTTAGTTAATCTGTTAAATATCTTAAAAAGCTTGTCTTCGTAGCCTTGTTCTGCAAAAAGGCAGAAGTCTCCCAACGCCCGGAGCGGGCGGCGAGTGCTATAGGGAGCTTCCTCCGCCCGCCCCCAAGAGTAAAAAAAAAACCCTGGGGGCTACGGAGAGCTCTACCTACACTCACCTGCTCTATCCCACATTTCCTCCTGGAAATGGGGTTTTTCGAGCCGCCTTTGCGCTGTACAGGCGGCTCTTTACAGGCGAAGGGGCTGGCGGTCCCGAGAGACTGTCTGGTGGCTACGAAGAGCAAACCGGAAGCCTTTCTAGAGTCTATAGTCTTGATGTGTCCTGGTTATCCACTTTCCATCTAAGGATACAGTTCTATGGATGCACTTTCAAATATGCCAGGATTCCTTTGAAATGAATGACGAATCATATCCAAAGCATGAAATAACTGTACATACCTTTCACATAATATATTTATTTTTATATGCTCAATCATCTTACTTGGGCATTATGGAAAAAAAATTACCAGTTTCTTGTCCTTTGGTTCTGATGTATGCAAAATTTAGTTCTCAGAGCTCTCAAAAGCTGATTATTTTGGCTGAAAAATAAAATCTTGAGTGACCTTATAGTATGTTGAACTTTTATAAATTCTTAATAAGAATTTCAGTCTGGGTTCAGGCTAATGAAATGATACTGATCACACTTGTCAGTGACCTTTGGAGGGCTCAGGATGGAGATAGTACAACCTTGGACCTCTCAGTGGCTTTCAGTATCATCAACCATGGTATCTTTCTGAACCAGTTTCAGTGTTACTGTGCGTTATACTCAGTGGTGAAATCCAAATTTTTTTACTACCAGTTCTGTGGGTGTGGCTTGGTGGGCATGGTGTGGCTTGATGGGTGTGACTTGATGGGCGTGGCAGGGGAAGGATACTGCAAAATCACCATTCCCACCCTACTCCAGGGGAAGGATATTGCAAAATCTCCATTCCCTCCCCACTCTGGGACCAACCAGAGGTGGTATTTGCCAGTTCTCCGAACTGCTCAAAATTTCTGCTACCGGTTCTCCATAACCTGTGAGAACCTGCTGGATTTCACCCCTGGTTACACTCCTTCCTCCATGACCAGTTCCAGTTGGTGCCGATAGGGGAAGGAAGTGGAGGGGTGGTTCCAACAATGTGGACTATCCCAGAGCTCAAGTATTTTACCGCTCTTTTTTAACATCTACATTCAACTGCTAGTGGAGGCCCTATGCTGGCATAGGATCCGATATCATCAATATACAGATGATACTCATCTCTGACTTATACATCTACAACCCTAGCCAGAAAGATGATGCTCTGGTGATGCTGGTTGAATCTTTGGAGGTTGTAAAGGTCTGGATTGGGAGGAAACGGCTTCAACTCAACCCTAGCAAGATGGAGTGGCAAGATGGGCTTTTGCCTCCCCAGGTCCAAATTATACATTATCATTGACTCTTGATGGGGTGACACTTTTACAGACTGAGCTGATGTGCATTTTGAGGAGCAGGTAGCAGCTGTGGCTAAACGGGCCTTTGCAAAAATCCATCTAGTGTGCCTGTTGCAGCCTTTCTTGAACCAAGAGGCCTTACTCATAGCCATTCATGTCTTGGTCACCTCCTAGTTGGATTACTACAACACGGTCTACGTAGGGCTGCTCTTGCAAACTACCCAGAAGCTTCAACTGGTTAGAATGCAGCAGCATGCACAATAATGGGTGTCCCTATGTTTGCCCATGTAACAACACTGTTTTGTTTCTTTCTGGATGCAATTCAAGGTGCTGATCGTGTCTTTTAAAGCTCTTTATGGCACAGGGCAAGGTTATCTGCAGGACTATCTTCCCCTAAAGACATCATACCTGTCCTACCAGGTGAGATAGGGTGGGCATGTTTCAATCCCTTCCCTTAAATATTATCATCTTATGGGAGCTAGAAGTGTGTCTTTTCCATGACAGTCCCTCCCACTTTGGCCCCTGAAGTTCAGCAGGCCTCTACCCTCGTAGCTTTAAGACTAGCTTTCCCTCCCAAGTGGTGGGATAAAATGAAGTGAGTGCACATCAGAAGTTTGACAGGTTTTAATTTTTTACTTTACTTTTATAGTTTTAATATTTTTTTTCATTTTATTTATTTGTATCTTGTCTTTATTATTTTTACAAATAATACAAGGTGGTGAACATATCCAACATACCTTCCTCCTCCTATTTTGCATAAAACAATAACCCTGTGTGGTAGGTTGGGTTGAGAGGGAGTGACAGACCCAAAGTCACCCAGCTGGCTTTCATAGCTAAGGTGGGGCTTGAACTCACGGTCTCCTGCTTTCTAGCCCTTTCTAGCCTTAACCACTAGACCAAATATGGCTTTAATGGTGTCTTAACTTTTGACTGAAAGCCTCACAGAATTGATAATAAGTTAAGCAGTTATATAACTATTACAAATAAATAAATAAATACATTTACAAGAAATTAAACCTCATTAAATGTTAAAATTATATATTTACACATTTAACATGATTCACCAATCCCAAAGAGATTTCATTCCAAATGATAGTTTATTTAAATATTGTACAAGAGTAAATATAAATAAACAAATAAACAAGGAAATCTTAACAAAAGAAGATTGGATATGCTAAATTAAATTGAGAATATTTTCTGAAAATATCTTACCATGTTTCATTAAAAAAAACCTAATTGTAGAACTCCTACATATAATAAGCAAATGTATTCTCAGATTTCATGCTGAAGAATAGCCTGTTGATGATCAGAATAGCTGACAATTTGTTTATGTGACAGATTTAACATGCATCATTAGTAGTAAACAATTCATATAATATTAGAAATCTGTTCATTTAGAGTACTCATATGAACATTATAATGAAAATGTATTTATCATTCCAGCAGGTTACATACATACAAATTCATTTTCTAAATTAACTATAAAAACTAAACATGTATATAAATATTATCAGTAACTTAGTATACTGAATTACATATACAAAGTTCATATTTCATAAAATCAATGCAACTCTCAGCGCTGAATGATCATGCTTCCTCTGACTGTTGGAGTAGCAGTAGCTCGTTCTCGTTCTTTTGCAATTTCCAACTCAATTTTAGCTTTGATTTTATCCCAGTTAACATCAAGCTGCAAAATCAAAAGGGAGAGTGGGAAAAAAAAGAAAAATATTTTTATCTGGGCAGAGAAAAAAATTATGAGTGTGCTTTTGTGTGTGCATACATGTATCTGGGATTTCCTTAGCTTAGCCTAAGAAGATTGTTTAGGCTTGCTCTGGTTCTGCATTTTACTTTTGGTTCAAAATTCTTCTTAATTTTAAGTTAGGGGGAAAATACTAGTAGTATGATAGAAAAGACTAAATTAGGTAAATACAAACAATCCTCAGGTTATGATAACAATTGGGACTGGGATTGCTGTCACTAAATGATGCAATTGTAAAATGCAATTTTACATGACCATACAAGCAATCCTGGCAGTGTTGGTAGCTGTTGTAATCTCAAGACATATGGATCATTAAGCGGGCAGCTGCAGGAGTCCCAGGTAAGAAGTAGATGATGCTGTAAGGTATGGAAAAGGCCAGGAGAGATCCAGGGGTGGGGGGGAGGACTTTTACAAAACATATGTGAGCTGAAAGAGCCAGATATTACCTGAAAGGCTTGGCATCAGCTGCACAAGGGAAGCTGGGGTGGGTTTGGGAGGCCCAGTGCATGCCATGTGCAAATCAAGGAAGAGCTTGCCCAGGGCAGGTAGCATGTGAATTGAGAGAGGCTAGAAGAGGGCTTTGGCATGCCAGCACAAATTGTACATGTTGAGGGAAGCCTTAGAGGGCAGTGGAGGTTGTGTACCAGTGGTGGGACTGCTATAGGTGACAGTAACTGTAGGTTATCAAAGTAACTTGCAACTTTCCACCTAGCTTTTGGGGAGGAAAACAAGAAAAAAAACCTGCCTCTGTCTCCCAGCAATTTGCCTCCATGCAGCAAACAGCAAACAGCCTGGTCAGCTTCAGCACAGCCTGGAGGCAGAGACCAAAGGGTGGGGGCCATTGGGTAGACTGGGCTCTGACAACATTCGCTCTATAAGACGCACAGACATTTCCACCCACTTCTGGGAAGGAAAAAGTGCATCTTATAGACCTAAAAATACAGTAGTTACAAGAGATGAGTGAAATAAAATGGCCATTAGTAATGTATTTTTTCCTCAAGTACAGTACTGTAGTATTTATGCATTGTAATAGGCTTTTTTCTCATCTTCTATATATCCTGTAACAATGTACATTCTGTTTACAAATAAAACTGCACAAAATTTATTAAATTAATTAGTTTAACAAGAAATTGCTCCAAAGGTAGGATGCTAATTTTAACAATACAAATGTCAATTTCAGATAAATTCAGCTGGTGAGAATGGACTAGGGTAGTGTTGGCGAACCCGAAATGGGTGGACGCACGCATAGGGGAGCACCAGAACCCAGAAGAGCAGCTCCCCAGCGCGTGAAGACCAGCTGGCTGGCGCATATGTGCGCGCTGGAACCCGGAAGAGCAACGGGTGACAGCTGGCATGCCTGGAGAGATGCTTTGTGTGTCATTTTGGGCATGTGTGCCATAGGTTTGCCATCACAGGACTAGGGAGTATTATCTTCAAGGAATCACACTTTTAAAAGGACATGAAATGGATTCAGAAGAGAGCTACTAAGGTGATAAGGGTAGAAATCAAGGAGCTGAGTGCATACCTTTTCAAAAGAGAAGACTAAAATAATCACGCTGCCCTTTGTATTTATTTATTTTGTGGAAGTTTTTTATTGTTTTAATGTTTTTAATTGTTTTATCATTTTAGAATTGTAAGCTGCTGAGAGTCACTTGGTTGAAATTTGGCAGTTACAGAAATTGAATAAGTCAGTCAGTCAGTCAATCAATATGATCTAACAAATATCTAAAAAGTAATCACATGCAAAAATGGTGATGCCTATTTTCTCTTGAAACCGAGAACAGAAAAATGACCAGTAGAAAGCAATTAAAAGAAAATAAAAGATATTCAGCTTGAATACCATGAGGAATTTTCAGATGGTAAGAACAGTTAAGTAGAGGAACAGACTGCCTATAATAATGGTGGAGTCCTTTAGTTCCCCATACTGAAGGTTTTCAAACACGGGTTGGATAGCACCCTTCCAGAGATGGGTTAGAGAATTCCTGCGCTGATCTACCGTATTTTTCACACTATAAGACGCACTTTCCGTCCAAAAAATGTGGATGGAAATGTCTGTGCGTCTTATAAAATGAATATTGTGGTGGGGAGAGAGGGGTTGGTACAGTGGCTGTCACCACTGCCACCGTTCGCCACCACCAGGGAACGCTGGAGCCTTCACTGCCGAACAGCTGATTGGCAGTAGGATCGGCCTCCCGGAATACAGCCGATCAGCTGTTCTAGGTGGCGGAGATTGCTGCCGCCTATCGCCATCGCTACCTATCGCCGCCTATCACTGTCTATTGCTGCTGCCACCTATCACCATGGCAGCGAACAGCGGCAGCAATTCCCACCTAGAACAGCTGATCAGCAGTATTCTGGGAGGCCAATTGAATAATACGGTATATGGTTTTATCTAAGTCATATATTCTGATTTTACAAAATACATATATTTTGTAGAACAGAAGGAAAACAGAATATTGTAGTCCATTTTCTTTTATAATGATCTTAGTTTGATGAATTAGTTATTTTTTTAAAAAATTACTAAATGAGCAAATCCCAAAAACTGCCTAAACCATTAATCAAGTTCTTTGACTCCAAGAATGTGTTATATTTTCCTCCTCCGTGATAAACTTGCAATCACATGAGAATTAGATTCTGAAATAAAATTATTTGGATTGCAGCTTCTTCCTTGCCAACTATGTATTATGGCTCTAATTCCATCAAACATGGCATAATAGTTGCTGTGATTTCAAAGCCATATGAAGCCTTTCTTTTCCACAACTATTTTATCTTGTTTCAGGGGGCTGTTTCAGTGATGTATTATGGTATATTCAAAAATTGCCAGATACTACTGGCTCAGTTGAGTCCCATATGACAGTATTCTAAGTTTCTATCTTGTTATGCAAAGAAGTGTGAACATTATGATGCAGTTTGCCAAAAGCAGCATATGATTTTCAAATAAAACTCAGTTTCCCTTAGAGAAGTTTTAATAAGCTAAGCAGCATGTCTATTGTTGTAATGTTTCCTCAGAATGTCACATCAGAATAAGCTAAGACAGCATCTTTCACTGGATTAGCCTGTATTGGTGAAATCATAAACCTGAAAGCTTTAGCAGCAACCCCCCTCTTAATATTTATCTTTTCCTATAAAATAAAAATTCTATACCTATATTATCTAACTCTACAGTATTTCCACAGTATGATTTTCATAACTGTAAAGAGATATCCCCTAACATACTTTGGCCCTATTCCATCAGTGCTAATAACTGAGCCTCAAAGTGGAAATCCTGAAAAAAAATCAAGTTGTTGATTTTGTTTCATACTGTGAATTAAAGTATAAGCACACAGTGTTATTAAATACACATTGGCTTACAGTCTGAAATTGTTTCATAGCTATCAGGCAGAGTTTCAAAAAATATAACTCAACTTCCACAGAATACTTGCCCCTTCTGCATATTGCAAAAATCGCTGATTCGTTTCTTTTTTATTGAAGTCATCCAAGAACTTTTGTCGGTAAGCCAGCACTGTGTCAACGTGCGTCTTGTGTTTCACAGCAAGTTCTAGTGCTCTAGAAGAAAGCAAAACAGTAATAAGCTCATCAGGCCGAATTCAGAAACTAAAATGATCACAAATGCCTTGGTTTTATAAATATGCACACTGTATAGCAACTGCACTAAGGAAATATTTTCTTATCATAAAGCAAGAAGAAACCAAGCATTAAGGCCAACAACAATTGCTTTAATTGAAAATTACTTTCCCCATTAAATAAGTTTATTTATGCTTTCTAATCATTTTAAGCTATATTTTCCCACAAGTAGTGATCTTTGTAATTGTTGGATGTTCTAAAGAAAAGTAACCACCTTTATACCAATGAACAATTCTGGTGAACCTTCTTGCTTTTCTGACCCCCTTTCTTGGTATCTTACTAATGGACAGTAGTTCAATTAAAAAATTATTCCCATAATCTTTTATGATTATGTATAAGGCTCTACACGTACAATAAGAATATGCAAATCAGAACATTATACACATCACATAAATTTCTTATCTATGAAACTTTAGACTGGAAACTTTCAAATTTGTCTCTTAACTTTCTAAAACAGTAACAGCTTCCTATTACCAATATAACAATTACTGCTTTGCATCGAGAAGACCTGAGATTAGTATAGCTGTCAGTAATTTTTTTTTTCTTTAAAGGACCAGAAACAAAAACCTTGTAATATATCAGTCTTGTTGAAATTGAACACGTATAAGCTTAGGCAGTGTCAAAATGAGACACTGCTAAGAAAATCTAACTATGTTGGGCATTGGTATGCATGTTATCAATTAATAAATAGCATATTACTTTCCATTGCTAACATATGTCACATTCATTATAAAGTAGGTGAGAACACCACTGCTCCATATTTATAGATTGGCACAAAATCTGAACTTTTAAAGAAGAATAGCTAAGGCTACCTTGTGGTATTTCAGAGATTTCACAGGTGGCATTTTTAGCATGGAGGTTTATGTTAGAAAATAATGAAAATCAAAATCATTCTAAACTTGGGATAATTTCTTTTTAAGGGAACCAACCTGAAGGAGGGAAGCAGTGAGCCAAAGAACTACCCCCACCCCTTCAAAAAATGCATTTGAGGTGCTTTCCTTATCTGGGCTTTAGCCATGTGAGCAGTTTACATAATCAGGAATACATGGAGCTAAAGAGGTACTGATGTTATAACGATGTTATAATCAGGTACAAAAGCTTTAAAAAAAAAGTCTATGTAACAGAATAGGGCTGGGGCCTGTGCTTCTTTATCAACAATTCCACATGCCATGTCACAAACTTTGGTATACATTATATCAACACTAATTCTGAAAGAAAAAAAATAGGAATTGGAATGGGATAAAATTATGTAAGTTATGTAAGCATAGCTGGCTGGGGAATTCTGGGAGTTGAAGTCCACATATCTTCAAGCTGCCTAGGTTGAGAAACACTGATTTAAACTGTTAAATCCAAATCTGAACCAAGACAAAAATATATACTGTAATACATTATATAAGAACCGTATTACCTTTCCCAGTTGTATAGATTAATATTAACTTGAATCGCCTGGTAAATAAGCCCAGCTTGCAGAAGCAAAGTTTCAGCATCCTGGACATTTCCACTAAAAAGCAGAATATGAGCCATTCTTGATTCTTTTGATGGAAGATCTTTGATGGAACTGATATACTGAACTTTATCAATCTGTTGGTTTTTTTAAAAAAATAAATGTGATAGACACAATAAAATCAGTTAAAGTCTATTTTTGCAATAAGTTAAATAATGCAACAAATGCCAAGAGTCCTTTAAATTGCAACAGGTTAGCATGAAATATTATCAATCAATCAGTGAATTATTAAGTAGTGAACTGTTCTACTTACCTCACCAACTGATGCATAGGCTATTTCTGCTGTGTTCATATCTTTATTGGCTATTGCCATAGCAGCTAAACAAGCCCATAATGTTTGATCCTGAAAAGAGGATATTAAAATAACTGTTCTTCTTACAGAATATAAACATTAATCTTATGCCAAATTGATGTGAATATAATTTAACCACTACCTAAGAATCAATGGGCTATCCATGTTCTAATACATTTATAGTGCAGTGTATTCCCAATGTTTAAATACCAATGGTATGAGTGTGTGATAATAGAAATATAGAGTCTCCACTCATAACATAACATAACATAACATAACATAACATAACATAACATAACATAACATAACATAACATAACATGTAGCTAGCATTATAAAAGAGAATATATGTAACTTAGGGTTGAACTGTGGAATTCTTGTTACTCTCTGAGATTGGTTATTTGCTTGCAGACATTTCATTACCTGACTAGAGAACATCTTCAGTATTAGAAAGGAATGAGTTTTGCTCTCTGTTTATATATCATAGTTTGCTCTATCAGTGTGTTGTGGGGATGTTGTTTGTGGTAGTTTCTTGATTAAGCTGGTGTTTAATGCTTGCTTGTTTTTCTGAGTTGGTAGTTTCTTGATTAGGGAATGATTTACTGCTTCACTGATTGTCTGGTGTTAATTCTGAAATTAATCCCCGATTATCAGGCTGTTGGAAACTAGCAAGGAACTACATTCATCATTTATTTGCTCTCATTATAGCAAATACATGATTTAATAAACATAAGTCAATCAAAATTAATTGAGATACACAATATTTCTATTTATTTAACTAGCACTTTTCCAGAGCAACTGGGTACTTGTGGCAGATATCTATAGTTCATTCTCTTTCAGTAAACAGAGGAAATGTAAATATATAATATTCTCAGATTACTTGACAATTGGCCCAATTTGTTCCTTGCAGTTCTCTAAGAGGACGGGGGAAGAAGAATGAAAAAGGCATGAAAGAGAGAAGGAAACTGCTCCCAATTGTCTTTACTGTACATGCAAATCAGTTAGATGCTTTAATCATTTCGAAGGGGACGCTTTCTTGAGAAAGCTTTGCACAGCATCATTCATTACCTGATGGAATGTCATATCAGGAGAAAAGAGTCCCTGCCTGTCCCTGCATTTTTGCTTTAAAATAAGAGATTAACAGAACCATCATATCTGACAATTATCTAGGATACTGGAAAGGTAATGAAGAAAATATTTTTTTTAAAAAAGGAACCAAATAAATATTCCTGCCGTATCGGTAACCACAGAGGATCCAGCAACCTGCTCAGTTTGCTTTCTCTTTTGTGTTCATTTTGCACCTGCTACAAAACTACTGTACGTGTTGCTAGGAGATGCAATGCACTAGTGCACTGTGATAAAAAGGCTATTCTTGAAGGAAGAAAGAAGGAAGTTATGATAAGCAAGCAAGAGGCTATTGTATGTTCCTTTTTCCCCTCTATCCTTAAATGACTGTTCTTATGTACAGAAATCAAAATGTAAATAGTGTTATGATAATAGCCAAACCTACAGTTAAACTGCTCAGAAATGCATACATAACTCTCTGGTGGCAAGTATAATCAGAAAGGCAGCCAAACATTAAAGCATAAGAAAATGTCTCCAGTTTATTAGCAAAGAACAGACAAACATATTTTGAAATATATTTGAAGTTGAGTTCTGTTAACAGTTTGAGGAGGAGGAAAGCAGATAGTCCTCAACTTATAACCACAATTGAGCCCAATATTTCTCTTGCTAAGTGAGACATTTATTAAGTGAGCTTTGTCCCATCTTATGACCTTTGCCACAGTTGTTAAGTGAATCACTGCAGTTGTTAAGTTAATAACACAGTTGTAAAATGAATCTGGATTCCCCATTGACTTTGCTTGTCAATAGATTGCAAAACTTGATCACATGATGCTGGGACACTGCAACTGTCATAAATATGAGTCAGTTCCCAAGCATCTGAATTTTGATCTTGTGACCACGGGGATGCTGCAATGTTCGTAAGTGTGAAAAATGGCCATAAGTCATTTTTTCAGTATCGTTGTAACTTTGAACGGTCACTAAATGAACTGCTGTAAGTGGAGGACTACCTGTAGAAGATACAGTATGTATAGCTTTTCTAAATAGCAGGTCCTTTTCAGTGGCAAATAAGTCAGGCAAATAAGATTACCTTGTAAAACATTTTATGATGGCGGTCTGAAGGGATTATTGCATTACTATAATCTGTTTTTTAAAATTAAAGAAGTCACATGTCTCTCCCCCATTAACCTTTTTCTAAAAGTTAACATTATATTTACCTTGACAAAGCGACACAATCTGATGGCATCTTCCCATTTCAAATTGTTCACATATTCATGAAGAATAGCTGGATATGGTGAAACACTAATGTGAATAAGTGAACCATCGGCTCTTCTGATTGTTACCTGATTGCCAACAAAACTTAAGATCTGGGGACTTTTACTAAATTCACTATTGGAAAAAAAAAAGAACACAGTTCAGAAACAATATTTTGGAATTAATGTAGCTTAGATAGAATACTGATGAAACAGACAGACATTCCATTTAAAATAACAACTATGATCTCTTTCTGAATATGCACTGATCATGGTGGAAATAAGGTTGGACACTCCTGCTCTGTTAATCGAGAATTTACAGATTAAGAATTAATATACAATTTTTATATACTTTTAAAAAAATTGTTCATCCCAAAAGAATCTGGAAGTTTGTATTCTGAAACGTCATATTTAGTAAATTTAGCAATTGACAAGTTAGGTATTTCTCTATTAAGTATGTATAATCAATGATTCATATTAATGCCCCTGCCCTGAACTCTATTTACAGCCTTCAAACAAAATGGCCAATTTTGGTTATATGATTTTGTGTATATATGTAATTTTTTTAAAAAAAGTGTTGAAATTCTGCAAAACAAAATGGATTTCAATTGCACACCTTGTCTAAACCCTAGAAACAAAGTTAAACACAGCTAAAATTTGCTGGCATTCAGTGGCCTAATTTTTGGTGTCAAAGTGCCAAAATAAGGCTGGAAATGTCTAAACTTCTGTAAGGCAAAATGCACGTATTTCCACCCGCAAGAAACATCCAAAATAGAGAACAGTCAGGCTGAATTTTTTTGACCAAAACCTGAAGATCTTTTAGGGTCTCCTGGCTCCTCAAATAATTTGAAATATCAGATTGGAAATTATTGTTTGCCTGTGCCATAGAGTCTCAGTCTCAAAGATTAGATTAAAAAATATTTTATTAGAGAAAGTTATTAATGGAGTATAAAACAAATAAGAAATACCTTGCATCCTTTTCATAGAGAGTTTTTGGCAAGAGATCCTTGTCTACATACACTACATTGGGGTAGTACCAGACTGTGAAACGTGTATCCTGCAGACCACATAATATGTTGCATGTGTCATTCCATGCCAGAGTATGCACCATTGTTCCTTTACAAAAAAGAAATTAAATAAACTAAACATCTGTCAACTAAACTGGATGAATAATCTATTCTAACATACTGTTCAAAACTGCAAATAGTATGATCAACTCTTCTCTACTTGTATATGATTCTAAATAATATATTTCTGTATTCAAAATAAAATGCTTACATTATTACTTGTCTTGAAAGATTAAAACAATATAAGCAAGCTTAGACTATGGACTTTTACTAATAAGACCCCCAGTCTTAAACAGCGGCTGTAGATTTGCAGGGCTTGAAGATTTTGTAAAGTAACAATAGGGGATAACGACCCATTAAGGAATTTACTTTAGTACTGATCATTTTGGACGAATTGGCTATTAATAAATCAGAAAAGTTTTCCTTCAAATTGGAACAGATTCGATCTTTGGAAAAAGAGAAAAACGACAAATAAGGACTTAACACCTTTAAAAGTTAGATGAAGCAAGGCAAACGGATGGTTACATAATTGCTACAAAATGGAGATTGCTGTGACTAAGTGAAAGTGTAAATTGCCGAGACTCGTCTTCTGCTTGAAAAAGAACTATTTTGACTGGCTATTTACCCTGGATTACTTAGAAAACAACTATGGATTTTTGGATTTTGGAGGTTCCTATTCTGGCTATGGGTGGTTTTATAAAGAAAGAAGAAATATAATGGGACTAATAAAATCGAAACTAACTGACGCAGGGACAAAAGAAGAGGCGCAGGAACAAAATAAGGAAACTGATGGATTCTACATGGAACAGACTTTACAATAGAATTAAAATGATATATAGAGTTTCAAACATGGATATACTGATTTTGAAGTGGAATACTTATGGATAGATAGGGAAATGAAAAAATAAAATAGATAAACTTAAAATGTCATGTTTAAATGTTTAAATGTGTTTTAAATATAAGCAGGAGGTGTCTATGGAGAAATAAAGATGGAAAATAAAAGAAGGTAACTAAAATAGAAATTTGATGTTAAGTTGGTTAAAATGATATTTTTACAAAAGCATAAGAGTATATATTAATATGAGACAAACTTAAGAAAATTTATTAGACTATGGGAAAATAAGTGGAGAATATGTCTGATGCAATATGTTGTAATTTTAAATTGTAAAATTTATTAGACTATGGGAGAACAAGTGGAGAATATGTTTGATGTGACATGTTTTAATTTTAAATGGTAAACAAAGTTGAGAATGGTAAATATGATTAAATGTGAATGATTAATGAACTATTGAATGATAAAATAAGAAACATAGACTTAAATAACAAATTGTGATTGAATTTAATGTATGTTGGAAATGATCAACATTAAGAAATAGGTTGGGAAACACTCTGGAAGAGTATATTTGGAAATAATTAAATAATAGATAAATATACTGAAAAGAAAACACTCAGAACAAGATATGCTGGGTATCAGCCAAACAAGAGGTGGAGATGTGGAGGAGAATATGCTGGAAATCAGCCAAAATAAAATATGCTGAAAATCAGCCAAACGATAGTTGGAGGCATGGAGGAGAATATGTTGGAAATCAGCCAAAATAAATATGCTGGAAATCAGCCAAACAATAGTTGGAGGTAGGGAGGAAAATATGCTGAAATTCAGCTAAAATAAAATTTGCTGGAAATCAGCCAAACAATAGTTGGAGATATAGAGGAGAATATACTGGAAAATAGTCAAATTAATATGGGGTGAAAAAGAAAATGTTGGAAGACAATTAAAATGAAGTGAAATGATTTTGAGATTATTCTGTGATGATAAACTCAAGAAAATTAAGTGCAAATTGACAAAGTTTAACATCTAAAGATTGGATGAAATGGGTCCAGACATTAAGAAATACAGATAGAATTTTGATTTATAAATTGAAATAAAAATAGAGTTGTATATATTGGAAATTAAGATTTGTGGTGATAAAATAGTAAGGTAAATACTTAGATCAATAGGTTTTAATATTTCTTAAATTTGTGTTTTGAAATTGATGTTAAAAGAAGTAATGGAGAAAATTTAGGAAAGAGTTAGAATGAACTTTGATTTATATCTGGATATAAAAATGAGTGGAGTTTATTTGGGAATTAAGATTTGTGGTGATATAATAGTATGGCCCAAATTAAGATGTTAGAATTTATATTAAAAAATTTTGTTTTGATTTGTAATTTTAAAAGATGCAATGAGGAAATTTTGAATGGAGTTTGTTAAAAAATGTAAGCGATTGTACCTATTTATGACCTGATCAAGAATTCGTTCTTAAAAGATATATTTTATGTTTATGTTTGGAAAAAAAAAACAATATAAGCAAGCTGAAGTTGATTCCATGTACAGGTTTTAAAATCTCCTTCATGATATCCAATATGAGTGCTCTCAAGTTTCATATTAATAAAAGTGCCACTAATGAGTGACCAGCTTCTCCTTGTCCATTGCTTTCATTTGTACAGCTATACCAGTTAGCCTTTGGGGTTTAATGCTTTAGAATTCTTGTATGTATATTATACCACAGTGTCTCTTTATATGGTCCCTCTAACCATTAGATTATAATTTATGATGCATATGGTTTCAGAACTATCTAGAGTGGCAGTCCCCAACCTTTTGGGCACCAAGGACCGATTCCATGGAGAAAGGTTTTTCCGTGGACCGGAGGAAGTGTGATTTCGCATGCTGTCTGCATCCTGCGAATAGGGCTTCACTTGTTTGCAAGGCCCAATTGCTGTTGTGCTGCGGACTAGTGCCGGTCTACAGACCAGAGGCTGGGGACCCATGATCTAGAGCAGGGGTCCCCAACCATTCCGATCTCAGGGATCACTAAATTCATAATTTTAAATCCCACAGACCACAAATATGATCTGCCTAATAACCGAATGGGTGGCCGTGCTCAACTTGATGGCCAACTCAATGTCACTCACATCAAAGGGCACCTCGCTGGCCTCTACTCGCCCCTCCCCTTCCAGCCACTCCTCACCTACCCGCCCAGGCTCCTTAGGGCCCCAACAGGAAGCAGTTGTTGGAGCTAAGCATGAGGAAGAGTTAGTAAAACAGCTGTCTCAGTTCAAATTGGATCTGGCCAAGAAGGAGGCTCAGCAGAAGCACCTCACTGAGGACTACGAGCATAGGGTTTCCAAGCAGAGGGAAGACCTGTGGGAGTGCAAGGCCAGGTACCGGCGCCTGGAGGCTCAGTGGGCTGAGGTGGTCAGCCAGGTCCTTGCCATGATGCAGCCCCACTGTAACAAGGCCCTCCGGCTCTTTGCCACCAGCAGTACTTCCCTCCAGTCTTTGCCCAAAGCCTCACACCAGGAGGAATTTCTGCCCCCATCTGACCCGCACAAAAAGACCCTGAAGGGGGAGACTCTCTGCAGCAACACAAATGTTCATTGCATGTATCCAGCCCAGGGGCCGTAGTTTGAGGATCCCTGATTTAGTGCAATGTTAAAAAATGCAAATAATTTTTGTGTGGACCACCAAAATTTTCTCGCAGACCACCAGTTGGTGGTCCGCTGATCTAGAGCAGTGATGGTGAACCTTTTTGGCACTGAGTGCCCAAACCGGAATGCATATGTGTGTCCACACGCACCGGAGCCCCAGAAACTCAAACACCAGCTGGTCTTCTGGTTTCCAGTGTGTGCATGCGTGCCGGCCAGCTGGTCTTTGTGTGCGCTGGAGTGCCGGAAACCTGAAGACCAGGTGGTCGGAGCGCACATGCACACCAGCCAACTGGTCTTCAGGTTTCTGGCATGTGCGAAGGTCAGCTGGCTGGCGCGCATACGCACACCGGAAACCAGAAGAGCAGCTGGTGACGGCGCAAGTGTCCACAGAGAGGGTTCTGTGTGCCACCCCTGGCACACATGCCATAGGTTCGCCATCAAGAGGCTACTGAAACTTTTCAATGATTTTATATACATGTGCCCTTCTTTTTCCTCTAAATGTCTGCTTGCTGTTCCAGTTGTTTCTTTTAACCTATTTTTTGACTTACTGTATGACTTTTAGAAGAGGTAGTACTTGGACAAACCTGCAAGATCTGCTTATCCTCCCTCTTTAAATATCTTTATACTCCATCTTCACAGAATGACAAGTATTTACAACTACACAGATGTTGTATAAATTATGTTAAACCAAGTTCATTTTCTTTTTTTCAAGTTTGGATTTTATTGTATTATTTATTCTCATAAGCCATTTTTCCTCTGTGCTAGATAAAACAGATTTACATTATAATCATACACTGGAATCATCAAAAACTTGCTACTACTAAGATTTTGAGTATTCTTAAATATGTAGTAATTCAATTCTGATCAATGATTGCTTCCATAATAAGAGTTTGAGGAAGTGTTGGATTTTTTCAGTTGCGACAGACAATTAACTTGGGGTTCTACATAACATTTACGATTGTACTAACAATGTTTTTCATCATGACTAAGTTCCTTCTAAAATATTAAATTCACAAAGTAGGCTTATTTATTATCTTCCTACTAAGATGAAATGAATTTGCAAACCAATTAAATTCCAACTTTAGATATTCATTTAGACCTATTCCTCCTTTTGGTTCAGGATGTTTAAGTGAGATCATTAGTACTACCCATAAGAACTCACATTTAATAATTGCATTCAGAACCTATTTCTGAATTACGACTTTCACTCCTCCTCCTCAGGCCCTCCGTGAAGGCACGGGGGGGGGGGGGGGGGGGGGGCTGTATCGGCAGGCAGCAGCATTCTCTCTCTCTCTCTTTCACACACACACACACACCTACCCTGTCCATCTTACCTAAATGACTTTGCTATAAATGAGCTTTCAACCACTAATCCTTTTTTATGAATCAAGTAACTGGCAGCAATGGTCTCAGTAGTGAGCAGGTGTTGCACCTGGATAGTTGGTAATAACTGTAGAGTCTGCAGCTGAACACGTAGTGAACCTCCGTGGACCACAATGAAAATCACAGCTTTATAGTGCTTAATATACTATCACTTTTTTATTCAAGGGACACCTGTGATATTGATTTAATTTAAATTAGTTTTGTTCTTAAAACAACCTGTTTTTTTAAATAAAGAGCTATCACTTTAATTAAAAAAATGTATCTTTCCATTATCATTCTCCTTCTAGAATGATGAAACCACATAGGATTATGCATTCACTGACTTCACTGACACTACAGGTTTGATCTTGAGATTTCTAATTTATTGAGGTGATCCAGAGATTAACTTGCTGCAAACATATTCTAAACAAAAACAAAACACATTTAGGTGTTTTTGTATTATACTCTCAATGCCATTCTCTCCTCACGGTACATACAGCAAGAACAAATCATATTCTACAAATTACACATACTCAATAATAACACACAATTTTAGAACACTTTGTTAAATTGCAGTATGGGGGTTGGGGGTAAGTCAGTTCTTACCTATTTTGATAATTTTCTGTTCTTTTCCAAATCTCTTCACAGAAGTTATATAAAGATCTCTATTTTTGTCAATAAAAGCAATTTTCCTTTCATTTGTAAGACCCTTCTGATCTAAGGCAATTTCCACAATTTCTGTCTGTAACAATATTTGAATCAAAACCCCTTGTATTAAAGCAAGATTTTTTTTACAGTAATAAAGATTTTCATTTTCAAATCTGTTAATATTGCTACTGTCAACAATATAGTTCAATATTATCAATTAAAAATTTACTTATATTATACTTACTGCTATAACACAGTAAGTATAATTGTGTGAGAGTTGGGCAGCCATATAAATTAGTGTAATAAATGAAATAACAGATAATTTAGAAAACGTGTTCTTATAATACGATGAAAGAGGTAATGTAAATGGCATTGGGAGCAGATGATCTAAAGTGGGAAGTACAGATTTTCCATATAACACATCTATATTTTATTTCTCAATCTCTCTCCCCAATGGAGCGTAGTATCTCAGAGTCACATAAAATGGGAATGGAAAGAAACTATTTTAGAAAATAGATAAATAATTATTAATCCACAAATTTAAGATTACTGTGTGGTCCTCCTTAAGTCAAAGCTACTATTTAAATATTTCAGATTGATTCAGAAAACTTCATGCATAATTAAATGATTTTCCTCATTTCAGGAAAGAAAATTCTTTTGTTATCACCATAAAAAAAAGACATTAAAATGACATGACATGTTCCATTTGAACAGTTGTGGCATATGACTACAGTAACAAGGTTTCATTCAAATAAAACTTAGTATTTTAATGTTATTTTATAAGAACAAGAACTGTGAAAAAAATGCCAAGACAAGGGACACAAATTCTTAATGAATGTATTATTGGCTTGAGCAATATCAGTTTCAATCACCTTGCTTCTGATTCTTACTGATTATTTTTTTTAAAAGTCTTTCTGCAACTCAGTCTCAGTCTCAATAGGTAAGGATCATCAATGAACACAACTGACTTCTCAGTAACCATATAACACTTTCTACAGGAATCTGCTCAGACTGATCAGATTTCAAACTGAAACATGCCATGGTAATAGAAGATGGAATCCGGGTAAACATTTACTCAGTGCAAGTAACTTCTTGATATGTTGTTCATCAGATTATAATTTTTTTCCAATATAAACTACAGAAAAATTAAACATTATTTACCTTATGACTAAGGGGTTTTCCATCTCCTAATGGTTTGCCAGATAAAGGTTCAAACAGATCAATAACTGTTTTTTTAGAAAAGATAAAAAACTGATTACTGATAAATATATAGATATCATATTTTCAGAAGTCTCTTACCGTAACGATGGTACACGTACAAAAAAAGTATCAACTGTAGATCCTACCAGGTTAATTTAATAAATGCATTTAATAGTTCAAATAAGGACACTGATAACCTTTACTGTGTAATTGGTGCATAATTTAAGTCATATTCTTTTGACAGATTATTGCTAGTAATCTAGCAATTTATCTCTTTTTACCTCAATTTAGCAAACAGTAATTTCTATTCTTCTATTCTTCTTTTCAAGGCATAAAATGCTGTATAACTTTGATTCAATTTAGTATTTTCATAACTACCATTCTCCTGGCTGAGATGTAATCCTCTGATGAGGAACAGAATAATGCTGAGGCACATAGGTAAGCCCAGGTCCAAGTAACAGTTGAGTATCAGGTCTCATAGACTGGCCTCATATATTCTAACTATAAGACCACCATCTCCTTCAAGCTGGAAGTTATAATACAAAGTTATGTACTATATAACAAAGTTATAGTACAAAGAGCTGGAACCTATAGTACAACTATGGGTAGACCTCAGATGACGACTCTAATTGAACTTGAAATTAAGGCCATAAGTCATGATGGCTTCATGTGGATCATCATATGATTGCACCCAATATTACAGCAGACATTAAGTGAACAAGTGGTCATAAAATAAACATGGTAGTTGTTAAGTGAATGTCTCTGTCATTAAATAAACCCTTATTTAGGAAATATTGCATTAGAAAAATGTATATACAATCATGTATAGTTTGTAGAAAATTTCAAGTCATGGACTATTGGAAATCTCATCTTCACTTGACCCTGATGTTGCAATCTCTATGTCCCTTGAAGTTTAGCAACTGGTGAGAATTTAAATTCCTTTAGAATTTGGATTGCATTTTACAGTTAAAACTTTGCATGATTAATCTGTAACTTGAATTACTAGATAACTAGCTTTACTCAGAAGAAGTAGGGGAAAAATAAAGTAAAATAAAGACCCACAGTATAGCAGGGATTTGAATATGAATTTTCATATATACAAGCCTACAATTTTAAATAATTTTAGTGGTGTTTACTTCAATCATTCTATGATAGGGTGGGCAATCTCCATGCAATACACAATATTTGTTTTACAATCCCCATTGTAAATCCCCGTTAGACTGGGTATGATAGAAAAAAAATGAATTGCAGGGTTTTTAAGGGGCATTTTTTTGTTTTGAGGATCACAGTAGGTGATATTGATATCAGTAGCATCCCTTAAAAACTAATCCAAGGGTCTTCTTCCAACAAGAACAATCAATTGCCTGTCCGCACTACTGTTATTAAACTGCCCACAATTATTATACACATTCAAGAAAAAATAGTTACAGATGGAAAATTTAAAACTGATATCCTTATTTATTTTATTGTTTATTTATTTATTTATTTATTGGTTTGATTTGTGCCGCCCTTTCTCCGGAGACTCAGGGCAGCTTACAATGCGTTAAGTAATAGCCTTCATACTTTTGTATATACCTGCTTAGTAGGGCTTTCGCCCCCCACCCCCCAAGCGGTGTTCTTTTTTATACGAAGTCATCTTATTGCCCCCACAATCCGGGTCCTCATTTTACCTACCTCGAAAGGATGGAAGGCTGAGTCAACCTTGAGCCTGGTGAAATTTGAACTTGCAGTAATTGCAGGCAGCTGGTGCTACTTAACAGCACTTTAGTCTGCTGCGCCACCAAGGCTCTGCCTTGCCATTTGGTTGAAAGATAAAAATCAGGGAAAACAGAATGTGCACTTGTTCTGACTTGATGTGATTTCAAATGACAGTGTTGTCAGTTTTTTGTTTATTGTTTGTAATTTGTACTGAAGTTTTGATTTGGTTCACATTAATTAACTTGAAGTTTAAAATAAAACCCATTAAAGTTGTCTCTTTCCATATTGTTAATTTTTATGTATATATTTTTTTTAAAAATATTAATTTTCAGCAGTCAAGCAATTCCATACATATTTATTCAGATGTATGCTCTATGTGGAAACTATTTGTCAGAATACATGGGACTACAGTTTAGGAATATTATTTTAGAATTACTGTAGTACTGGAGTTTCGAAATCTGGGCTACAAAAATCCCTATGACCAATCAATGGCAGAAAAGAGTTTTCAAAAATCTGTTGTTGTCCTTGGATGGTTATATAAATGTTTTTATCCCAGGTCTGATAACTTGATGGATGAGTGGCCTGCAAACTTTATTATTTTCCTTCTTTCCTCCCATCACTTTTTGCTTTGCACCATGTCTCTGCAGTATAAGCCAGTGAATGGAATGGAATGGATTTTTAAAACTAATCATATTGTAATGTGGTCTTTTTAATTGAATAGTAGGGTAAAGTGAACATTTGTAGTAAATAAATGTTATAAATAAGAATAATAAGTATCAATACACTTTTTAAATAATATATTTTGAACTACTTTAAGATGTTCTACTTTGAAATATTTTCTTGGAAGGCTGATTTTGTCATCACAAACTTAGTTGGAATCTCTTTCAAACTTCGATTTGCTCTTGGTAAATGTAGACTTGGTGCTGAAGCAGCAAAATGAAAACATTTGAGGAAAATATTTTGCTGCATGATTCTCATTAAAGCCAATAAAAAGTTTTATGTTTATTTTATTTAATTTAATTTATACTTTAAGATTAAATAACTGTTCAATATTTCGGCATGTGAGGTTTCTGCACTATTATACTAATAATGTACAGAAAACATTTCAGAATGCAAAGGCATTTACAGGAATTATTAATTCTAAACACAATCTAAACAATTTGATATTGCACACCAAATCTAACTGATAATCTCATTTAAATTCAATGCAGCAAACATATTGAACTTTCAAAGATTCTTCCATTTGAATATCATGACTTTCTTCAGAAGATACAGGATATTGGTTTGCGGTCACTGGTTGTATTGGCAGGAAAAAGTGCTGTTATAAGAACAGGTGTTGTTCTGATCTTATTGGTTACATATGAAAAAAAGAGTTAAGTCCATTGCTAGTTTGAGCCAGCTGGGTAAACACAAGAAAGTAACTTCTGACTTCAGAAAAGTTGGGATTTTTTTTTGATGCAAGTTTTTCTTTCTCAGATTCATGGCTCATGCTTTTACAAAAGCTTTTATTTAAACACTTGTGATAATAACTTGAAAAATAAAATTAGGAAAACTGAATACATGAAAAACTCTACTGTATCTCAAAGAAGAATAAAAAAGAGTAAAAGCTTATAGTTTTTTTTTTTAATTTGGTGATTATTAAAACAGACAAAATGGCAAAAAGTGTTACAAAAAAAAGAACAAAGAACACAATTCTGTACTATCATGTGATATAGTGGCTGATTCCAAACGTATTATGCAATTAATATTGTTTCACAAATATTTTACTGTTTGCTTTTTAAAACAAACAGAATTGCTTTTCAATCTAAACTATCTTTTATAAATGATTCGTGTCTTTTTTTTAAAAAATACAAGAGATACATATGGGCATTAGATTATCATGGATAGAAATTTTCCAAGTAGGAGATTGTGTTACCATATCCTCATATCTGAGAATGAATAATCTTTTCAGAGTTATGTTTTAACTTTATATAGACATTTTTCCACATATTTTAATTAACATATAAAATATATTTTAAACATTGCATTAAACATATGTGTACACATACCTTTTTCATCAGATTTGTCCCTTATAGCTAAAGTATCACTACTCAAGGATACAGTTTGGCCATTCAATATGTCAGTTCTCATGCCTGGAAACTTTGGAGAGGAAATTAAACGTCCCTCATAGGAATATAAGTAAATTCCTCCACCATCAACAAGAACAAAATGCCTAAGAGTTGGGGGTGAGATTATAGCCATCAATAACTTGAATTAATAGTACAGTAACAATTACTCTAATTGTTTTGTAAATTGCTTGCATTGTTTGACAAGTTTATTCCATTATTTAAAATAACTTATAAACTTATAATTTTTAACTTATAAAATATTATGCTAGCATTTGTTTTTAGAGTTTTTATTCTGTCAAAATAGGCTGTTTAATATTATTTTGAATACATCCTGTTTCATTTATCCAACATATATTAGCATACGGATATCTTTACCATTTTTGAACTGTCAGAACATCATACATTTTTAATTAGTTTATTTGTATAAAGGAGTGGAATATCAACTGACCAATTTACATTCAGGCCAATACAGACTAATGCTCCAATTACTTGATTGCAGTTAAATGATAAGCAAATAACTATTAAATTTCTTTTCTCTTGCCTGCTCTCTTCTCAAAAATAATTTTGGACCTGATTCTCAGCAACCAAACAGGTTCTCAATGTGTAAAAAAGGAAGTTTATAAAATGAGACAATAATAACAACAACAATAACATCAATAATCTATTCCAACTATAGATTAAAACTGGATGTAAACTAGCTTTGGAAGAAGGCTTGGTAAAATAAACATTCAGTGGGCAATGCTGGACTGGACTTAGCTAAACACTATTTTGAGACAAGCCTTTCCAGAAAGAAGCAAGTGTCCCGTCCCCCCAATAATGCTCTTCTCCAACTTCAAATAGGTAAGGATGAAAGCCTGTCACAACAAGTTAGAGCTCCGACTATCTCCAACAGGCAATTAGGCAAATGTTAATGCCAATATATCTTTTGCACAAGCCACTGCCATCCTTCTCCTGCTTAGGAAGATATAGCTGACATTTCTTTTAGCTCTCGAGTTACAACCAGCAAGCGACAGACCTAAAATAAATAGAGGCTACCACCTAATTTATGACTGGGCGGGTGGGGGTGGGGAGAGAAATGGAAGACACAAATTATTGTTTCTACTCTGTAGTTCCAACTAGAGGAGAAATGGTCAGGTTCATTTAGCATGGTTGATCTGTTACTCCACAGAAAAAAAGGGAATGTGGGGTTGTCAATCCCTATTGAAATCAACGCAAATGGAAATGCCTTATGGTACTTGAATAAATTTTACTTTAATAAAAATAAATGGTCTAAATTGTCATTTAAAATATATACCTTTCTGCTTGTAAAATTAAACTGACAGTTCCTTCTTTGAGGTCAAAGATTAAAGGTGTATTCCAGTTTTTAACTCTAAAATAAAGGGAAGGCAGTACACATTTAAAAATTGTTTATACAAAGCATTTAATGAATGTCTTCATTTATACAGAATATACAACCCTAAGAAGGCTACATATCCTTAGATTGCCAAAAATATGTAAAATATGTAAACACTTTTACTTGATTTAAAAACAAATTATTTAATTGTCTTTTCTGTATTTTGCCTTTAGTTATCATTATAACAACACTGTTTAGTTACAGCTGCTGTGATTCAAAAAATGTACATATACACGTGTGAGTTGTATCCTACAAGAACCCTGCATATTCCTTTAAAGCTGCACACACACCCATTTAAAAAGATCTTTCCATTAAAAAAAAGTTCAGTGATTTGGCAGAAGTAATTTGCTAAGCAGATCAATTACGAGTTCTAAAGAATTCATAATTGCATTAAAAGACATAGTTCTGTTAAGGAAACCATATGGGTTCGCTACAAAGGCTTTTTTCATAGGTAACTAAGTATACCCAGTCAATTCCACGAGTAATTGTGAAGAGTTTATACTGTAGTTTGTTAAATTCTGGCTGCTTCTCTAAATCAAACCACATCAAAGTTATTACATATTTATAATTTATCAGATGATAGCTCTTCAATTCTAATTACTTACGAGAATATGTAACACTGAAGAGATGTTGAAACTACTAAATGACCAAAATTCAAAGATGCTTTAATGACTCTGTCACGAAATTCCAGCAAATCCACTGCATCATTAAGTACATTACGAACCTAATAATTTTTTAAAAGCCCATAGTTAAATCACTTAAATACATAAGTAGAGCATTTCAATTTTAATGTCAAATATAATAAATATAAACAAATATATCATTTCTTCATCATTGTATTTAGCAATTCAAATACTTTTCAAAAAAACTTTACAAGCAATTGTTTAAAAATAAGACCACATAGTATATTGAGAGAGAATGAACCAAGCCAAACCAAACTAAAAGGACCCAATCCTTTTATATAACACCTAGCTTAAAGATGGCCAGAACAGAGCTGGGCATATCCTTTGAGTAAGTGTTTGCAAAATATCATATCACTGAGGCAATCATATATTTTCTAAGTCTGTGCAGCTACTTCAGAAGCTCTCCCAGCTATTCCACATATGCATACTTTTCTCTTCTTGTGCAATGGGTATATTGTGCATGTGAGGAGCTTCTGAAGTACTCACTTCAATTGGGACTTGATCACTTAAATTGAGAATTCAAAAATAGATGCTTTGTATACTCTTATGAATTCTAAAGGACCGCTTGCAAAAGACTTGTAATACTCTAATGTTCAAACCACCAGGTTAGGTCCTGACAAAAATATTTTCCGTACGTATGACAGGATATTTTTATGTTTATTTATCAAATTTAAGCACCACCTGTCTGACTCTCAGATAATTTCTAAAGGTTTAAATGGCAAAGGATTACATTTTAAGGAAGCTAACGTGTAAATGTCAGTAGAAGTAGGCTGTGAACCTCTCTTCACTCTCAATCCTATTGAGGCATTTCAGTTGACTTTTTTTAGTTCACACACACAAAAAAATGCACTACCTACTGGAAGTTTCTATGACACAGAAGCCTTGCTAAACCTAACCTAAAACATCTCCCTTCCTTGGCATTTTCCCCAATAATATCAATTTTTCCTTTGAAATTTGCAATGTTCCTGTTATTGTTATTATAAAATAAATAAATAAATAAATAAATAAATTTCTATACCGCCCTTCTCCCGAAGGACTCAGGGCGGTGTACAGCCTATTAAAAACACAAAGACAGACATCAGTTAAAATTAATTAAAATTATTACATAGTTTCAGCTCAGATTTAAAACCCCAAAAATTTAAAACCCAATTTAAAAATCATTACATTGATAGCCCGGCTTGGCGGAACAGAAGGGTCTTGAGGGCACAGCGAAATACACGGAGGTCGGAGATCTTACGCATTTCCGGGGGCAGTTCATTCCACAGGGCAGGGGCTCCCACAGAGAAGGCCCTCCCCCTGGGTGTCGCCAGCTGACATAACTTGGCTGATGGCACCCTGAGGAGATCCTCTCTGTGGGAGCGAACTGGCCGGTGGGAGGCTGTTGATGGCAGAAGTTGGTCTCGAAGATACCCGGGTCCTATGCCATGGAGCGCTTTAAAGGTGGTGACCAACACCTTGAATTGTACCCGGAAGATCGCTGGGAGCCAGTGCAGCTCGTGCAGGAGGGGTGTCACGTGGGCACAACGGGTTGTGCCCATAACCACCCATGCGGCCACGTTCTGGACCAGCTGGAGCCTCCGAGTGCTCTTCAAGGGGAGCCCCATGTAGAGAGCATTACAATAGTCCAGCCGGGAGGTGACAAGGGCGTGAGTGACCGTGCGCAAGGCGTTCCGGTCCAGAAGGGGCTGCAACTGGCGAATCAGGCAAACCTGATAAAAAGCCCAACTGGCCACGGCCATCATATGCTCTTCTAAAGACAGCCATGTGTCCAGGAGGATGCCCAGATTGCGAGCCCTCTCTGTGGGGGGCAGAGATTCACTCCCAATAGTCAGCGATGGCACCAGCTAACTATATCGGGATGCCGGAAGCCACAGCCACTCGGTCTTGGAAGGGTTGAGTCTGAGCCTATTTCTCCCTGCACGGCCTCCAGGCAGCGAGACATCACATCAAGGGCATCGTTGGGCTGGTCTGGGGTGGAGATGTACAGCTGAGTGTCATCAGCGTACTGATGGACTCTCACCCCAAAACCACGGATGATCTCACCCAGCGGCTTCACATAAATGTTGAACAGAAGGGGCGAGAGGACCGATCCTTGCACTCCCCAAGCGAGGCGCCTCGAAGTCGACCTCTGCCCCCCTGCCAACACAAACTGCGAATGGTCGGAGAGGAAGGAGGAGAACCACCGAAGAACGGTGCCCCCTATTCCTAACCCTCTCCACTGCTGCAGCATGATACCATGGTCGATGGTATCAAAAGCCGCTGAGAGATCTAATAGGACCAGGACAGAAGAGCAACCCGTGTCCCGAGCCCTCCAGAGATCATCCACCAACGCGACCAATGCCGTTTCTGTACTGTACCCCTGCCTGAAGCCCGACTGGTACGGGTCCAGATAGATAGCTTCATCTATCTATCATTATATTGGGACACTCTGCCACACTTCTTTGGCTCATGGGAATTATCAATTTTTCATGAACGGGACTCCACATTATGCTCATATAGACACTCTTCTTGTATCTCTTCCTGTATCTACATTCAACTTTCATTTTTATCAAAAAAACCCAGTGAATTCTATCCATATATAATCAATGTTCTTCCTCTGCACATCAGAGATTTAAAATCTGGTTGATAGAACTGATAATGTTCTGGAGTTTACAGAAACATTGTTAACAACTGATCAACAAATTTGCTGCCACTTGAAACACTCTGGTAATAATTAAGTCCGGTAATAATTAAATAATTAAACCACTTGGAACAGCTTTGCATAGGGATATGCAATGAGATACACTGACAACATAGTATTGCTGATTTCTCTAGGACAATCTGTTTATCCCCTTGAATGGACCAATCTGGATATTCTGGAAAAGTTCACAGTATTCAGGACATTCTCTAATGCTTAATACATCTAGATCATCACAAACCACTTTCTACTCAGTGTACTTTCAGAATAACACCACCCCAGAATACCTAGCTCAGAGCATTCTAGAGGAAAACAATGTAACATTCCACTGCTGGACAGCCTCATTTTGTACATCCATGTTTCTGCCTGCAGAATTTATAATCAATGTTTCCTTATCACCTCTCAGCACTTGGAAGCATTTTTTTCTAAACTACCAGACTAACATTAATAAATTAACTTTTGTGCAAAAGAATGAAGGAATGTGTATTATTTTATTTCATCCCTCCCCCACTTCATGGGATGAATGTTGGAGGTCGCTGAACTACTGGATAGTTTAGACTGACTCAAAATCACTCACTGAACTTCCATGGCTAAGAACGGACTTGAAGCTGAGTCTCCCTGGCCATAGTCCATATTGTTAAGCATTACTACACACTGGCTCTCCAAAGGGACTCCAGTGCATATGACTATGCACAAAGCCGTTGGATCTATCTAAAACAACTATTTGTCACAATACAAATTTTCAAAATGTTAAAAAAAGACCAAATCGTATTGTAAATAGTTGCTATATTTGGCTTTGTATACTTGGCATTAAGGATTTAACTAATACATCAGAAAAATTTTGGGAAATTCTTAAAAGACAATTGGCCCATTTCTGCAGAAAGAATAGCTCATTTTTACATAGTTGCAAGGAACTCACAGACAACTGGAATTTACAAACTATCTTCCTTAAGTATTTACTGGGAAGTTAGTTCCACTGTATCATAATATCATAGCTGGAGGGAGTTTAGCAGCTTTATAGTCCAATCTCCCAGACAAATGGCTGTCCAACCTTTGCTTAAAAACCTCCAATAAGCTCCCACGACTTTAGGAGGTGCCACCGCTTAATAGCCCTCATGATCAGGAAATTCCTCCCTATTAACTTTTGAATCTCTTTCGGTAAAGCCTTAACCTGCTGGTTCTTGTTCTACCTTTGGGAGCTATGGAGAATAAATTCCCATCCTATTCTCTATGACAATCCTTCTAATATTGGAAGACTGATATCATGTCTCCCCTGGATCTTGGTGTTTTTAGGCTAAGCATACCAATGTCCTTTAACTATTTTTCAAAGTGATTATCCTCCAAGCACCTCATCATCTTTTTTGCTCTTCTCTGTACTGTTCCAGTTCCCCAGGGTCCTACTTGAATTATCATGAGAAGAACCAAATATGGTATTTCAAGTGTGATCTGACCAGTGCAGTGCAGAACTTCCTATGATCTCATTAGCAATTTTTGGCAGATGCAGCACATTGCTGGCTCATGCTTAATCTGTGGCCTACAAGGACACTTACATCTTTCTCACAGTACTATTTACAAGCCAGATACCACCTATCTTGTACTGGTACATTTTATTTTTCTTACCTCAGTACAAAATCTTATATTCTTGTTGATAAATTGCATGTTGTTGGCTGGAGCTCATTGTTCAAGCTTATCAAGATCCTTATGAAGTGTTAACAGTACTTCCCCTATCAATTTTGTGTTATCTGCCAACTGGATGAGCATCCTATTTATCCCATCACCTACATCTTTATGAAAAAGAGAGCACTAGGCCCAGGATAGAAATCTGAGGTACCCACTGGATACCTCATTCCATTTGACTTGGAACTATTAAAGACCACAAATTGAGCCCTGTTCTTAAACCAACTATGAATCTATCTAGTGGGATCATCCATCCCACATATTTCCATTTTCAAAGGATATTCAACTGGATTTACTTCTGATAGACATGTATTAGAGGCTGGTACATTTAAAATGTTGTATGCAGCCCAGGATCAATCGCCTTCAGGTGAGATGGGCGGCAATCAAATCAAATAAAATCAATCAATAAATAGCTTCAACAAAACTTTCACAGAAAGTTAATATTTGAAAAATAAAAATGGTCAGTATTCCTTAGAAAAAACAATGATAATAAGAATAGGTGAAATGTTGATAAGTTATTTAATAAATACAAAAATGAGCCACTTTTTATTTAGTAATGGCATTCTATTTACAGAAATATATAACAAAATTAATTATAAAAATAATATAAACTAGAGAGAGAAGCACTACTTGCCAACTAAAAACTAAAGCAATCCAACATCCAATATCCTGTATACCTAACATTCATGTGCAAAAGTACACTTTAGTAATAAAGATTTCATTGTACAGGTTGCTCAGATATTTTTATAAGTAAAACACAACTCTAAATACAGGGTTTATCACATTCATTACAATTTTATGGCTGGAAGTGAGTATAAAATATGATTTTTATCTAACAAATTTGTTTTCTGTATTTCCAGACAATGACTCATAACATTCCATCCAGTGAATATTTCTATTACCGGTATATAACCAGCATCAAAAATGCCAAATGATTTTTAAGTTCTTAATTAGAGATTTGGACAGTCTAACGTTGGGAACCAAAACTAAAAAACTTCCTATTCTAAATGTGAAATTCAGAAATTGTGTATTATCTTTCAGTTTTCTGGTGTGATAATATAAGTCACTGACTTTCCAGGGAATATAGCACATTTTCCAGATGAAATACTATTTTATACTTCTAGATTCAACTGGCTCAGTTTTTACTGTAGGATAATTTTGATAAAAACCCATTTTTAAGTAAAGCTATGTATTTGGGACTTATAAATGTAACTTCAAAAAAAAAAAGTGCTGTTGCCCCAAAATATTTTATTAAAATGTTTTAATAAAGGGTCTCTTTAATTTTTGCTATAGGTATCTATAGGCTGATTTTAGCAATACACAATATGAAACTGTTCCCCAGTCAAGCTTATTGAATCTGCAGTAATATCCAGTAATAAAACAAGTGATCAGTATTATGTTGAAAGCAATTATAATATCCACCAACATTCTATAGAAATATATATTAATCAGTTTAATTATGGTTTGGGAGAAGGGATGGCAATTTACTTTACCATGATTTTTAAATAAAAAAAATAGGTATCTTTTACACCTGCCCTTGGCAAAAAACAGTACAAAAGAAAACCCAACATTTCAGTAACAGCCAATAATACTGCAGCTGCTATAATGGTAAACCACAGCTGTACTACATATAAATAAGCCTTTTTTTTTTAAAGGCAACAAAGTTTTCAAACATGGAGTATATGTTATTGCTTCCAAAGTAGTGACTTTGTTTTCAGATATTACAAAACTATTTCCAGTATTTTGATTCTGACTTTCTAGCCAATGAAAGAATGAATCCAGGCTGGAATACACATTTTATGTACTCTAGACAGGGGTGGGTTCTAATTTTTTTTACTACCGGTTCTGTGGGCGTGGCTTATTTTGTGGGTGTGGTTTGGTGGGGGTAATGTGACTGGGTGGGCGTGGCCAACTTTTTTTTTTTTTAAAACTTTTAAAAGCATTTTTTCTACAACCTTAAGAGGTTGCAGAAAAAAAATGCTTTTAGAAGTCTCGGACGATCAGGCAACTCAGCTGGGATCGCCAGAGGCTTTTAAAGGCATTTTTTTTTCTGCAATCTCTTCGGCCGAAGAGGTTGTAGAAAAAATGCTTTTAGAAGCCTCTGACGATCCCAGCTGAGCCACGTGATCATCAGAGGCTTTTTTTTTTTACTTTTAAAAGCATTTTTTTTGGCCAAAGAGGTTGTAGAAAAAATAGTTTTAAAAGTAAAAAAAAAAAAGCCTCTGATGAGGTGAGCGGGGTAAGTGAGCGGTGACCAGGCTGGGGACCGGTTCGGGGGCGTGGCCAGCCAATGTTATTACCGGTTCTCCGAACTACTACAAATTTTTACAAATTTTTCTTGCGAACCGGGAGCAACCCATCACTAACTCTAGAGTATAAAAGACTGCAGCAGGCTCACTCTAAGTTTAAACATTTGACTATGTTCATAAGTGCATGAACCAACATGCACATTTCACTGGGGACACACTGAAGGGTGTTTTATTACCTAGCTAAATGGTAATATGTTAACCTCATGAACAACATGATATTATTGACTTAACACAAGTAAATTCTAAAAAAAAGTCTCTGATTCAAGCCTGTTAACTACAAAAATCATATCTAACTGTATCATTCTGGAGAGAAAAGTTGTGTTTAAAAAATAATCCACTGTTCACCAAGCTTTAGATAGCCAACACATACCTCCATGGTTCTTCTCTTAGTTAATGTTATTCCAAAGTTTTTCCATACCCAGCGCTGTTCCACAACATGAGCAAAAATCACGTGTCCATTTCCACAAGCCCCAGCTAATTGTGTACCATCAGTAGACCAAGCAATATTGAATATGCTGCCAGTGTTTGGTTTCTCTAAAGCATAGGACCACTGTAAAATATTTTTTAAAAATAATTTAAAATTCCTATAGTGTAATATATAAAACATATAATAAACATTATATGTTTATTATACATATTGCACATGATTAATAGCACTGTACATATATCCATTTTCATTTTTTAAAAAGCAAAAACATGAATTACAACAAGATAATCATAGACAAGAAAAGCAAATAATCTTTTTATAAGATAAACTAGGTGCACAATAAAAACAAAACTACAACATTGCTACCATTTCACACAATAGCAATTTTTTATTTAACATGACATAATAATATTGCTTTTAATGACAAACGTACTTTAAATGCAGTACATTATTGTAAAAGTTTCCATTTAAGAATATTCCTATTTAAAAAAAATAAATGAAAAAGATGGCACTAGAAATACTTGAATAGTAATTGTTAAAATGATGGCACTTTCCAAGTCTTGTCAATTGAAATTTCAGGGGGAAAAATACCAATAATGCCAGAGAAAAATAGAAACATTTTATTTTAATGCTAAAAGGTTGAGAATCAATAGGAAAAAATTTTATGGTCACAGAGGCAGGGAGAATGGGAGATAACTTCTTTAAAACTATATAATGAAGCAGTTCATTTGGAATATGTGATTCCATTCATACTGGAAGATAGCAAAATCATGGATTCAGATAAAAGAGTTACAAGAGTCTTGTAATTAGGTTCTTATAAAAGTAAGCAATATAAAGAATACATTTAATAAAGCTATGTTTCAGTTTGAAGGATGAAAAGTTTAGAAGTAAGAAACAATGTTTCCCCATTAATTTACTTTAAAGAGCACCCTGATTTTTATAATACATCTAGGACAATTCCATTCTGGTTATGAAGACAATGTAATTAATATAAAATAAGAGATTTCTATAACAACATGTTACACAGTAAGGAAGAGATAAAAATCTAAGGCAGACCATCAGATATCTTGATTTGATTTCACATCAGAAACTTAAAACTTTTTTGAATGATGAAGTGAAACAACTAATTCAGCCTTTAAACAATTTTGAGAAATTAATAATTATCATTCATAACCCAAAAGAACAATTTCAGAGCAGAACAGAAGTAAGATAATAGAGTAATAAAATAAACAAAAAGAATAAAATGAGAAATACAACTGTGTAATTACAAAAAAAGAATGATGAATAGGTAGAGTGCAGAGAATAAGGAAGGTGGAGCCTGATATCAATTCAAAATATGTTTGAGAGAATACTAATTTATTTCTATTAATAAAAACGTATATTCTTATTCTTAGTTGCCAAACCTATAGGTCAACAGTGGAAACATTTTTTAAAAATTAACAGTTGATATATATATATATGCTTATACACTATTACTATAGTGTAACAATATTGAATGAATGTGAACTTTTAATGTTATTAGAATAATACATAATTAAAGCAAGATTTAAAGCAAAAAATGAAAAATAAAAGTCCATTTCAAAACTGTTTAGTCAATGAAACACAGAGTACTGTTGTGAAACATTTCTGTAAATATGTGGGGAGAGAAAGTTCATAGGGGAAGAGCTTTCTTTGTGGTTTCCAAGCAGGTGTTTTATTGTAAGGAAATGCTATTAAACACAGAGATATTATCATACATGAAGTGGGGCACATAGAGCAAGCAGGGTACTTCAAAGATATATCAATGGATGATAATTGGGTATACAGTAAAACAATATTTTAAAAAGAGCTACTATTCTGTTTTCCCCACAAGTATGATTCTGTTGTCTAAAAGGACCCTCAAGCACAGAGTAAACAGAGATAATAATCAAATAGTGTTACATAAAATGTTTCTAACATAAGAAACTAAAAATTGCACTGGGAAACCATGGTTTATTCTTTTTTTGGACCAATTAAAAAAGAATGCATTATATAATTTACATATATAGCATTAAATACAATCACACACTTTGTATTTCATTTAATAACTCATGTAAATCATATGACAATGTCCTCTCTTAAATTAACTAGAAGAATTATGTAACTACTGTTTATTTTGTGCATGACAGCAATATAACAAAACCTATTTTCTAGGACCAAGGTCCGAAAGGTGTTATTGTTACAAAAACAGTCAAAACTGCCTCTCTCAAGTACAAACTGGCAAACAAAACTGAGTGAAATAAGTTATTGTGGTTATATCTTACTGTTAAAAAATTTCTTTCATTGTTCAATCAAAATGTATTCTGTATTGATCCCTGATATATAATAGCAGAAAACCAGTTTGCTATCTTCTAAATTACAATCCTTCAGTATATAAGAGAGAAATATGAAGGTTTTTTTGCAGAAAATTCACTTTGTTTAATCACATAAGAAACCTCATTTTTGTTCCAAAAAGATAGCAGTTGTGGAATATTAGTGGGGTTCATCCCTTTTTTTCTCCTGCCATATTCCTGTGCAGTGAAAATATAAATCTGTCTCTTTCTTAAGTATTTTAGGTGATTGGCAAATGTATCAGGTAACAACAGCATGGCTGATTCAGTTTTGTTCAATTGAATTGAAGATGAACTTCATAAAGTTGCTAAATTCATAATGGAAAGGCCTTCTTTTAGATTACTTCGAAAGGTTGACGTGAAGTGCCAAAAGCTCTCCCAGAGAACCAGAGATAACTATCTCAGTTAAAACCAGAGTCTACTATTCCAGAAACAGATTTCCTGCTATACCAGATAGAGAACTTAATATAAAACAGATGCAAGTGCAAGGTTTTTTTTAAAAAAAATGTGCTTATATTTGCTGTACTTTCTTGACTTGTCTAAGATAATTCTGAGGACTCACATGGTATGCAAGAGAGAAACAAATAAAGCAGCTATTACCAAACTGCTAGGCACTTAGGCTTGGCAAACCAGCCCTCAAATTTGTAGCATATTGCCTGGCGATGAAGTTCCTTCACAAATGTACAGTACTGAGTGGTGAGATACAAACACATCAAAGTGAGGAAAAAGTCTTTCAATTATAAAGTATACAATCATTTACCAGTAAGTTCTTTTTTTTATGAAGTTCCTCAGTTAACCTAAATAAAATAGCCTTAATTGGCCTAAATTTCTGCTTGGAATTATTGCCAGTCATTTGCTGTTTAGGCATACCAGGAAGATCCTGAATATTTTTATGTTCTTTATTATTTTCCAAGAGATTTTCCTCTTTCCATTTGTCTCTTAAACCCAACTACCACGGCACCTTTGTATTTTATTCTTCTGCTTTAGATGTAAATAAGACAACGTAATTTTGCCTTGGAAAATATGTGCAAGTTCTTCAGTAATTAATTCTCTGCTATGCTGGCTTTATTTTCCTACAGAGGCATTCAAGAAATGAAGGACATTTCTTCATATCAAGAACTGTTATTTGGTTTTGTATGGCATTCAAGGAAGTGGTTTTCAATTAAACAAGTATGGATGAATAAAAATAAAAATTAGTTAATACAAATTAATTAGAGGGTAAGACTATATGGCACCTCCAGTTATCTACTATGTATTGGTTAGAACATATTTCTCACTTTCCCTACAATCTATTATATCTCATATCACAATTTAATTAAAACTTTTTTTAGCTATCACTAGACTGTTGATGATAAATCCAGCCGAGCCTGACTTCTGTAATTATTAATTTCTAAGCTCTCATATTATATAGACTCTTATTCAGATATATGATTGCTTCTTTATTTGTAATTTATATTGGTTGCATTTATTTTGGGACCTTTTCAATTGCATTTTAATCATTGTTCTATATGAGTTTATAAAAAAATATTTGTTGATTCCTGCAAAAGTAATCTTTGAATATTTTGATTTTTGTGTACTTTACCAATGTCCAATTATTTATTTTGTTTCCTAAGAGATTATGGTATTATTTAAAAACTGTAATTCAATATATAAAAAAATGTATGGTGACTAAAATAACTTTTCCTGCAAAAAAAATTGTTGCAAATTATAAGCAACCTTGCTTCTAGTTCCGTGATGGCGAACCTATGGCATGCATGCCACAGCTAGCATGCGCAGCCATATCTGCAGGCACGTGAGCCACTGCCCTAGCTCAGCTCCAGCGCTGATTTTCGGTTGGCCCCGCCCATGCCGCTCCTCCCCTCCCAGGAGTCTCCACATGGCCCGTTTTGGATGCCAGGTAAGTACAGGGCTCACGCAGAGGCTCTGGGAGATCTTTTTCAGCCTCCGGAGGGCCTTCAGGGTGATGGTGGTGGAGGCTGTTTTTGCTCTTCCCAGGCTCCAAGAAAGCTTCTGGAGCCTGGGGAGGGCAAAAAATGGGCCATCCAGGCCCACCAGAAGTTGGGAAATGGGCCGTTTCCAACCTCCGGAGGGCCTCTGGGGGGGGGGGGGGGGGAGGCCGTTTTCATCCTCTCCAGGCTCCAAGAAAGCATCTGGAACCTTGGGATGGTGAAAAACAGGCCTTCCTGGCCCACTGGAAGTTGGGAAATGGGCCATTTCCGGCCTCCGGAAGCTTCAGGGAGGCCTGCTAGGCCCAAAATGGGGTATGAGGGGGTCGTGTGCGCATGCATGGGGGGGGGGCACATTGAATTATGGGTGTGGACCTCCAATCTCCTCCCAGTTTTTGCACGCAATGGCAAAAAGGTTAGCCATCACTGTTCTAGTTCATAGTGTCCAAAATTAGGGAAGATGTATTCTTTACAAGTAGTCCTCAATTTACAACAGTTCATTCGTGACTGTTTGAACAGCAAGGAAAAAAGTTATTTATGACCATTTTCACACTTGCAACCATTTTAGCATTCCCATGGTCACATGATCAAAACACTTAGCACCTAGTTCATATTTATGACGATTGCAATGTCCCGGGGTCATGTGATCACCTTTTGTAACCTTCTGACAAGCAAAGTCAATGGGAAAACCAGATTCACTTAACAACCATGTTACTAACTTAGCAACTGCAGCGATTCACTTAACAACTATGGCAAGAAAGGTTGTAAAATGGAAGAAAACTTACTTAAGAAATGTTTCATTTAGCAACATAAATTTTGGGCTCAATTG